AACAAGCTCATTGAGGTGCATCTATCTATCTATCTATCTATTTATCTATCTATCTATCTATCTATAATCTATCTATCTATCTAAACATTTGATCTATTGCTATCTATCTAAAATGTCTTAAAGGCCATATCACCACGGTGCACTTTTCTGTCCCCTAATTTTAAAAAATCCCTCCCCCATACATTATATATCAAAAACTATAAGCCAATTGATTCTATTGTACTTAACAATACGATCAACGAATTAAGCAACGTCAAGCCTGGTTAATATCTAGATGGGTGATCGTTTGGGAATACAAAGTCCTGTAAAATAGGATGTGCGGGTAGGGTAATGAATGGTAGCTCGGATTTGTTAATCGGAATGCCGAGTTCCAATTCCGGTTGGGTCCGTTATATTCACTTACGTGTAAATACCCTTGGAAAAGATGAAATACTGATTAGCTACACATTCATGTCTTTTAGAATTATTTACATTGTCTGGGATATAAATATATAGAAACTACCGTGGCCCAAAAAATGAAGGATCAGTTTATATAGTGATTCTAATACAGAATTGATCCCCCACTTTTTATCCACGTTATAATTAATGTGTTTATTAAATTATGATTAAGGTATGAATCTACGTGTACTCCGCATCTCCAGGTTAATTAGAAAGACTTGTATCACTAAACCATTTTTATCCTCCCCCCCACCAAAAAAAAAATCACTAAACCATTTTTATCCCAGCCCCCGCCCAATCCTTACAGTCTAAAAATAGTTTCTGGTTTTAAATAACCTACAAAAGGTTGAAAAGCCATTAAAAACGAATCAATCAATGAATCAATGTACTTGAATAAATTTATCGATAATTTTGCTGATGGATTTCTTCATAAATTTAAAATTAACCGAGTTTTGGTCAATTTGTTTCGTGAGATGTCGAAGTTTCCTTTATTAACGTCCCTTTCAAAGAAACTACCATATTCTTCTTCTTATTCCTTCGTTCTTTGGTTAGTTGGTTGGTTGGTTAGTTGTTTGGTTAGTAGCTTGGTTGGTTGATTGGTAGGTTGATTGGTTGATTGTTTGGTTAGTTGTTTCGCTGTTTGATTGGTCAGTTGGTTGGTTAGGTGGATGGTTGTTTGGTTAGTTGGTTGGTTGGTTAGGTGGATGGTTGTTTGGTTAGTTGGTTGGTTGGTTAGTTGGTTGGTTGGTTGGTTGGTTGGGTTGATTGGTTAGTTGGTTGGTTGGTTAATTAGTTGTTTGGTTAGTTGGTTGGTTGGTTGGTTGGTTTGTTGGTTAGTTGATTAGTTGTTTTGCTGTTTGGTTAGTTGTTTGATTAGTTGATTGGTAGGTTGGTTGGTTAGTTGTTTGGTTGTTTGGTTAGTAGTTTGTTGGTTGATTGGTAGCTTGGTTGGTAGATTAGTTGGTTAGTTTCTTGGTTGTTTGATTGGTCAGTTGGTTGGTTAGTTGGATGGTTGTTTGGTTAGTTGGTTACTTGTTTGTTTGGTAAGTTGGTTGGTTGGTTAATTAGTTGTTTGGTTAGTTGTTGGTTGGTTGGTTGGTTAGTTTGTTAGTTGTTTGGTTGTTTGGTTAGTTGTTTGGTTAGTTGGTTAGTTGGATGCTTGATTATTTGGTTGGTTGGTTATTTAGTTGTTTGGTTGCATGGTTGGTTGGTTTGTTGATTAGTAGGTTGATTAGTTGGCTGGTTGGTTGGTTGGTTGTTTTGTTCGTACGTTGTGCTCTGCCTTTACTTTAGATAAATAACGTTTGATTGATTTTTTTTAGACGGACGAAAAGATATATAAAATGCGTTGTTTGGTCTTAGGGAAAAGAAAGAAAGAAAGAAAGAAAGAAAGAAAGAAGGAAAGTGAAGATAGAAGAGTGGATAGCCCTCGTATGCCATTACCTCAGATAAACAATGGACCATTTCTATTTGATTTCAAGGATAGATGGCAGAAAAGAGCTCGCAAAAATTACTGTTTGATTTTATGGAAAGGGAAGGGAAGGGAATGGAAAGAAAGAAAGAAAGAAAGAAAGAAAGAAAGAAAGAAAGAAAGAAAAGTAATAAGTAAAGAAAGAAAAATAGAAAACATAAGAAAGAAAAAGAGAAAGAGGCGAACGAACGAACGAACGAAAGAAAGAAAGAAAGAAAGAAAGAAAGAAAGAAAGAAAGAAAGAAAGGAGTGAAAGAGGAGGCGATAATACTCTCATACCATGACCTCAGATAAACAATGAACCATTCCTGTTTGATTGCAAGGATAGAAAGAAAATATATATTAAAGGCGCTGTTTGCTTTTAGGGAAAAAAATGAAAAAAAGCGGATGCGGCAAATCTTCTATCTTTTTGCCGTCTGCTTCAGTGAAATTGAAAACAATGTCACGTTTAATATTTTTTTTATTTGTACCTTCTTATTTCTTTAAATAATGTCCTGCATTCATATTTCTGATTGTTTGTTTTTTTTAATATTTTATTGACGTTGCTTTGTTTTTGTTAAAATAAGCTTCACTCTGTACATGGCCAGAGGGCTACCCGAGACAGAATAGGACTCAAATAGGAAAGAAAGATAATTTTCACATCCTTATCACTTGAACAGGTTTCGCTTGTAGTGTTCATAAAAAAAAGATTTTCGGTTTCACCTGAGTAGTTTGAGAAAACTCTGTTCGAGTGGAACTTACTTCTCATCGATGGAATACGGAAGGAATGCTTGTGGTTTGCTACAATGTGAGTGGCACGGCGGGTCCTAGTCCTGAAGGTTAGGCTTGACGCAAGCAAAGAATGTAGTTCGTCCTAGCACTTTCTATGGAAGTACCGACATAGCGGTGAGAGGCTTGTAACCTTCCATCTGCGAGAGATAGGTTGGAGGCTGGAAAATTAATTTGTCATGTACAGGGATTCGGAGCCGCTTATCGAGGCTAGAGAATTTGGAATGGATATGAGGGCCAAATATGACAACAGTTACAGATTTTAGACCTTACCTAGCTCTTGTATGGGTGAGGATATAACGGTTAGTTCATTGGATCGGAATAGGAAACCGAACCATTTTAAAGCATCTTTAGAGTCGGTTCCATTATGTTCCACTTGAGGTGAGGTGTGGAACTTAGATCTCACGAAAGAATGTCTTAAGAGCAATGTGAGGTTTCCATGATTGAGACTGGCTCTTAGTTCGTTTTTAAAATGATGGAAATCAAATTTTGGTGTTTCGTCGTTGAATTTCCCGGAAATAGCTAATGATATGAGAGACTTTAAGTTTCTAGATTGCATTGTGTGAATTTTGTCCCATCAGCATTGTTGGAATTTTTGGTTACCCTGGCGTACTAGTGAGCCAGCCAAAATGAGCCGACTCTTTTCATAGTTCACTAATAGAAGGGTTAACCAATCAGAAGGCTCAAAATATTCAACGCGACGTGTATAAAGGCGGCCATGTTTTTCCCGAATATGCACTACCAGCCTTTGATAACCCGGACGAGGCTCCGCCGAAGGGCAGAATCTCGTTCAGGGAGGTTGACTGCCCCTGAACCCGTTTAAACGCGTTCGAATAGGGAATTTTTTTGGCCGAGCTCGGAGATTCCACGTTAATCTCGGCCTTGTGCCACATGTAACCCTCGTGGTGGTGGTGGTGGGGGGCTAAATATCACTGCCAGCCTTTGATATCGAAGACTAAAGAATTACGGAACAGCTGCTGGTGGTATTGGCGATATAGTCAGATTCAGTAGAGTGTCTGACTCGTGAGTGTTAATCTTTAACGTTGTTTCATTGAACAGATTACGTACTGCGCTGTATTCTATATTCATAGACAATGGTGAACATGGTCAACAAATTGCAGTTCTAAATTAAAGAATAATATTATTTGAATAAATATTTTATTTCAATATACTCATTTATTTACAAAACAAAAATGACATGTAACATCAGCTCTATCTTGTATTGTTTCAATAGAGTCCCTATGACTGGTGCAGGGCTGCCAAATTGTCAATGTTTGGCTTGAAAGCTGTCAGAGAGAGAGACGTAAATCGCCTCTTTTTTCTACGCCAAGGCGATTTCGAGTCTTTGACAAAATATGGGAATATTTTTGGCCGAGACTACGGGCTCAGAGATCCCACGTTAATCCCGGCCTTGTGCCACATGTAACATTCGTGGGGTGTGGCTAAATATCATTGCCAGCCTTTGATATCGAAGACTGAAAATTACAGAACCGCTGCTGGTGGTATTGGCGATATAGTCAGATTCAGTAGCGTGTCTGACTCGAGAGTATTGGTCTTTAACGTTGTTTCATTGAACAGATTACGTACTGCTCTGTATTCTATATTCATAGACTATGGTGAACATGGTCAACACTCTCGTCTATCGTCGTATTATCGTTATAAATATTCACAAATGATCTGAGTATATTCCTAGGGATACCATTTATGTAAAGCAAGAAGATTGGTCCTAGAAATGACGCCTACGGAGGACTCGTAGTTGATAACTAGCTTCAGAGACCTACTTGTTTAGAATGACATTTTAATTGAGATGACCTTTCCCCGTGTTTCCCTAGCTGGAGAGCTTGAGTAGCTAACCTTTGTGTCACACCTTTTCACATGCCTTCGAAATATCTAATGCTATGGTCCTCGAGGTGTCTTTATCGTTAAGAGTCTCATTAATTCTGCGAGTTGGGACATCAGCAGTGGATTAGGCCGATCGAAACGCGTACTACTCGTCGCTCAAGCCGGTGTTTTTATGTAGGTGATCGTCTACCTTTTTGTTGATTACAGTTTCAAAAAGCTTCCTGACACTGAGGAGACAGATAGGTCAAAACTGGAAAGGGGAAGATCTCTCTTATAAGCTAAAATATTTAACGATGCAATACGGGATTTTACACGGGTATTTTATAGCAACAGAACTCGAAAGTAGCTTATTCAATCATTAACTTAAGAATTGAGAGCCATCAGAAAATTAAAACATAAAAATTGTCAATTTCTCCGATTATATCTAATAGATATAATAATATAAAATATATGTATACGTTCTTCCCTATCCCACCACGTTTACCTGCCCTTCTCTCTTGTATTAGACAAATACATGTCTACTATTATTATGGTCACATGTACACATGGGCTGACAACGTAGCTGTGGGTTCACCGCTAGGTTCTGTTTTAGCAAATTTTAAGAAATTAAAATTTTAAATATTTTTTGACAAGCCTATGGTATATATTCGATTTGGTGATGCTATTATTCGCATTTTCTCCTACTTGGCTATTGAGTAAGTACGTCCACAGATTCGCGATATTTATGGATTAAAATTTTCTCTATTTCAAAACTAATTTAAATTGACTGGAAGCAGATATCTGTTTCTACTAAAACAACGGATTTCAGTGCCAATTTCAGCGCTTGTTTATCGCAATGTAGTTCTCTTTATATAGTTCTCTGAAACCTTGAAGAAAAAAAATTGAATAAACACACACACAAAACACACACACACATTCAAAATTCTTTTAAAAATATTGGTGTTTGGTGGATTGTTCAATTCATTTTAATTTATGATTATTTAAAATAGCTTTTAATTAATAATATCTGCTGTATGATACACCTAATTTACATAAGCGGACTACCGACCATATAAATATGGGTTGGTACCGGAAGACGAGGGAAGATAGTAAGATTAAGAAATTGAATCCAGAGACTCTGCCCGACTGCGATTTAGTCAACCCATTATGCAGGAACAGTCTTCCCAAGAATATACCAAAACTAACTGTAAATATTGTGTACCTATTCTTTGTTTCAATACATTTTGTTAACGTACATTTTGTGTTGTATTATTATTATTCCATGCTTATTCAAGCTTCAACAATAATACAATAACAATCTTTAAAAGTATTAGAAAATTTAATAATAATAATAAAAATGAAAAATAGTATACTCTAAAAGGAAAAAAAAATTATTCATCAAAAATTTAAAAAAAAATTTTAAAAAATATACAGAACTATATAAAATGGCGATTTATATAACAATTAAAAGCAGAATCTAATTAAATAATATCTTAGGGGTTAACAGGGTTTTTTTTTTATTTTATTTGACAAATGATCAGATTTTTTTGGTTAAATTTACCAAGAGATTTAGGAAAAGAATGGATAATTGGATACTTTTAAGTAATATAAAATTAAAAGATGGAAGTTTATTTTTAGAAATACTAAAATCATAGTAATTAAAAAAAATGTAAAAATATGATTACAAACACGAATTTTATAAAAAAAAAACTATCCCTTCCTCTAAAATAATTTAATTCATTTTTTTTTGAATATATAAAAACCGAAAATTATAGATTTTTTTAAAATTTCAAAATAATGTAATTTTTATGCTTAAATTGAACAATAGACAGAAAAAGAGCAATCATTAACTAATCTTTTGGAAAATATTGTAATCCACTGACAAAAATTAAAAAAAAAATTTCGAAATGCTAAAAAAGATTAAAAATTTAATTAAATAAATAAAATAGGCAATGGTAATTTATCTTTGAAAAGCTTTTAAAAATTTATGAAAAACAAAGATTTTTTGGAAAGTTTCATTTTTTTTTTTCATCATCATATATGAAAAGTTTTCAAGAATTAATAAAATTAGCAATCTACTTGTTTTATTAATAACTTGAATCGAAATCATTGAAGATTTCTCTTTTTTCATTAATTTATAACACCATTCCAAAAAAAAAAAAACAAAACATTTATTTTGCATAAATTTATCTATTGAAAAAATATGCGATATTGGCAAAACGGGGTTGAAATTCAATGGAAAAGGGGACAGAATTAAAACAAAAAAAAAAAAACAAAATGTAAAAAATAACAGTTTTATTTTCATTATGAACAAAATTGAAATTTCTTTTTCTAGGAATTTGGGAAAGATGGTATATCAGCAAAAAAATTCCAAGATCAGATAAAGAAATTTATTGGATTTATGAAAATGGTTCAATATAACATAAAGGTCCCTGTTAAGCTATGCTTTAACAAACAAATCACCGGACAAAATAATTGTCGAAAAGTACATTTCATAAATATATATATTTATATTTTTTATCTTTGTAAAATATTATTTTATAAAATTTTAGGGATAAGTAAATTCATGAAGATATTATATTACATTTTATATATTTTTTTAGAACAGAGAAGGATATATAAATCAAAGAAAGAAATGAAGGATAATTTCTGGTTGTATTATTTATTAATATAAAATTTAAAAAAAAAAATGCACAAAAATTGATAAATTTAAAAAAAAATTTTGTCTAAATTTAGGCGAATTTTTATGAATTAAATATATTATTTACATAAAAAAAAAAAAAAAAAAATAAATATTTTTTTCCATAAACTGCTAAGATTGGTAAAATATAAATAAAAAAATATAAATTTTTAAGTAAGATTGAACAAACTACTCAATATAAATTTATATTTTCTAAAAAATAGTTATATAGATATTTTAAAATAAATTAATAAAAATTTTTGGATATTTAATGAACTGAAAATTAAAATTTATATAAATTTGGTTCAAAATTATTGTTTTATTTTCGATAAATTTTTTGAATGGTGAATGCATTAAAAAATATTTGGATTTATATCGTTCATTCAAAATAATTTGGTTAATTTTTATAAAATTAACGATTTTATTTTTATTGGAAAGGACCCCGAAAAAAAAAATTCAAGCGCTTTTAAAAATATGTTATTTTTCAAAAAAAGTGTTTTAAAGCACAGGAGAAGGAACTAGAAAAATGAATGAATTGTGTGTGATTAGCTGAATAAAAAATGACTTTTATTATTTATTAACATGTTCTGGAATATAAATTATTTGTGAACTATTTTTTTAACCAGTTCTCATGTTTTATATATTGATAAAATAAAAAAATTCGATCCCCCTTTAATACAAACGTTATACTTATTTTTGTTGATAAGTAATAACAAAAAATAAATATTGTCAATATAAATCTTTAACGATAGCTTTTTTTCGTTATTTTATTTTATTTTTTTTTCTCAAATATAAATAAATTTCAGAATATATATGTCTTTTAGATTTTTTTATCGTGTTTATATATTTATTTAATATTTGGTTTTATTTTCATGATCAAAATAAATTGGTTTGAATACAAATTTTGATTGAACAAATGAATGCATTTAATTTGTTTTTTTGTAAATATAGGTTCAAATAATATTAATTCTCATGTTTATAAAATATACCATCAATTAAATTTTCAATATTTTCCAATATATAATAAATATTTAAATATATTTAAATAAAATAAATACACACATAACACACACAGAAAACACACATTTCCAACATGACATATAAAAATATAATTTTATTTTTTTTATTATATTTGCATGAATTTTTATTCTTGTTGTAGGTTAAAATGTTCGGAAAAAAGACAATTTGATTTATTTTTTATTTAAAAATTTTTTTACAATTATATTCTATTATTATTTTTAGATCATTTTGATATTGATCTTTCACCATTTTTTTACAGATATATATATATATATATATATATATATATATATATATATAATATATATATATTTTATATATATATATATATATATATTCTAAATATCAAAATATTCTTTAAATTGAGTTAAAATAGTATAACCCAAATATAAATATTTTTTTTTATATTTTTTTCATGAAAATATAGAATGGTTTTGAATGAATATATAAAAAATAAAATTTTATTTTATTGCGTTTTTCCAAGATTTTTAAAAATGCAATAAATATTATAAAAAAAATGACTTTAAATCATATACCAAATTGTTTTTTATATATGGTGTTTATATAAAAAAATTTAGGATACATTATTTTGATAATTTGGGCAGTTTTTTGTTTAAAAATTAAAAATTAATGGATAAAAGAAACAATTTTATTCTGAATGCTGATGTTTCTTTGAAATTTCTTTAAAACATCATTTTCAGTACCCTTCTTAATATTTAAAACTATCTTCAAGTTTAAAGATAATGAATACTTTTTGAAAATAAACATTGCATGTATCAGATAAGAAAATCATTATCAAACATACAAAATTTAAAATATATTTTTTTATATATATATATATATTTCGCATTTTTTATTGTTTATTTAATTAGTTTTTGGATAGCACATTGAATTTTTTTCAATCATTTTTTTTTTTTCTTTTTTTTAACAATAAACTACTTCTTTTTTTTTTCTTTTCTTTTTTTTGCCTAGACGTTAATTTTTGAATAAATCCGAATTTTTTTTTTTAAAATCTTTTCTTTAGGGAATAAAATATTTCTTAAAAAAAAAAACAATTTTAAATTTTTTTTTTTTTTTTTTTTTTTATTTTATCATTTTTTTAATTTTTTCTTCATTCATTTTTTTTTAAAATTTTTTTTTCAAATTTGTAAATTTTCACAAATTGAAGTTTTTCTTTAAGTAATTTGGATATTTTTATTTTTTTTTTTTTTTTTTTTTTTATTTTTTATTTTTTTTTCATTTGCTAGTTTTACAGATCACCCTTTTTGGAACATCTTTTGAGAATATTTTTTTGCCTTTTAAAACAATCAAAAATTGGATCAATTTTAAGCTGATATATAAATAGTCCTAAATTTTATGTCCATATTGAATTTAATATCTTACTTTGTTTATTAAATACGGATTAGGTAGTCAAAAATCCATTATTATTTAATTATGGGTTAAAATTATTATTTTTCATTTATAAATTTTGAAAAACGTTTTGACAATATAAAAATATTTCTGGATTTAGATAATTGTAATTTTATATTTCATAAAACGTTTAAAAAAACAAAACAAAAACAACTTTCATCAACGATTAAAACAGATTTAAAGAATATTTGCTGAGATGGAATATTTTCATCATGAAATCCCATTAGTATACAGAAATTTAAAAGAAAAAGTGTTTATTTGATTTCATTTATTTTTATCGGAATTACATTTTTTCTCTAAATTTCATTAAATAATTTCATGAATGTTTATCTATTCCCAATTTATATATTTTTATATTATTATTATTATTATTATTATTATTATTATTTTTATTTTCTTTGATTTCTGGCGTTTTTACATTTCTTTCCGGGTCCCGCCCAGGGACCTAAGGTTAGAAATGGCGTCATCATGACAATTTTCACTGACAAAAAAAAAAAAAAAAAAAAAAAAAAATTACATAGATAAAGCCCTTCGTAAGGTGTGGGCTGTACTTGTCAGAACAATTTTTTGTATCTCCTTGAGGCATGGACTTCCAGGAATCCCTTC